AAAAAGTATAATAGATTATTTCATTCTTCAAAATATCCAAAAGATCATGGGAGTGTTCGGAGCATGACCCCGAACAAGCTTTAGAATTCTTTTAAACATTCCCGGTTCATTTGAACTTATTATACTGTTCAAGTAATCATCCAAAGTTAACTTTAGGGTTTGATTGATTAAGCTACCCTATGCTCAAGGAACTTGATGTTTTAATTATATCATGAGAGAGGTACCTAATTAGTCATTTAATGTTTCATTTAAAAGTAATATAAATGGGTGCCCTTGAGGGCAAGATTAGGTTATTAAGAATTTCATGCCTACAATTAAGGCTGGGTTTGTAGTGTTTTCAAAATGCTCATAATTAGTTAAGTTTCTTTCCTAAACCTCATTAAGCAAATCCAAATTAATTCTAGTTCACTACTAAGCCCTTAAGACTTATGTGTGGATAAATTCAGAACACTTTAGGGATATTAAATTATGTGGTATTTTAATCCTTATCATTGATTTTAATATCACTCAGACATTAGCTAGGAGTTTAGCTTAATAAGTTTTAATTTTCCAAAACCAAACCCCTCACCTTATGATCATTTAATTTAATTAACTCTCAAATTATAATAATTGAGGGAAATTACAATTATATCATTATCGTAGGAAAGTGAAGAATTGGTTTCTACCATTTAATCTCTTGTGTTTTAATCATTCAAAAGAGTTCATTATGGTCAAAATTACCCATTTAGCCTTTAATCAATCCTAAAATTTAATTAAAGCACAAAAAATTAAAATTACCATTTTGCTCTTAGGGATCTCCACTTCATAACTTATTAAATAAAACTCAAATGACTTTGAAATTTTTCTAGTACCACACTCATGGGTCAATTAAAATATCATAGGAGAAAATGTGATTTTTTCTAGTTTATATTTAATTTATATAATTATTTTATTCAAAAATAGGGATTTTCAAAGTTAATTCATTTTATTAATTAAAACAAACTATATGTCCTTAGGAAAACTATTGGAGGTTCACCTAGTTCAGAGAACCACTAGGACCAATTTTCATGATTTTTCAAGTTATATGTGAATTATTATATTTATTTAATGGTTTTGAGTATTAATTAAATATAAAATATTATTTAAGTTGAGAATTAACTTTTATATTTTTCTTAAATATCTATGTGTCCAGGGAACCCAAAAAAACAAATTTCATAATTTTTTTTATTTATATTTTGCTTATTATAATTATTTTATTGCAAAATTATGGAAAATTCATTTTCAAGTATTTAAAAATTTATAACTTTATTTAAAAGATTAGAAATAATTATTGTAATTGCTCCAAAGTGATTATGAAACCAATTGTGACATTTTGGGGTACTTTTCTATTTTAGTGATTTTTATTATTTTTTATTATTTTAATTATTTAAAATTATAAATATACCTTAAAAATTAAAATATTTATTTTAAATTCAATTTTATTTTTTTTACATTCCCCTAATTAGAAGGAACTCAGAAAATTAGTTTTCATAAATTTTCTAATTATAGTAAATTAATTATAATTATTTTAATGCAGAAATTCTACTTTACTGGGAAAATCAAGTTTAGTGGTAAATATGTTTTAAATTAGTTCCAAATTTCACAGTGAGTTTAAATGATTGATATTTACAATGTGGGATGTTTTTTTGTGATTTTTTATAATTTTATTTTAATTTTTTTAATATTTTTCTTTCATTTTTAGAACTTAATTACATAAAATAATATGTTTAATTATTTAAATCCAATTTTTATTTTTCCTGGGGTCCTTTGGGCACAGTGAACCTACCAAAACAAGTTTTAAGTTTTTTTTATTATATTTTAACTTTTACAATTAATTTAATCAAACTAGACTAATAAACTTAAAAATTAGGGTTATCAAACTAGAGATGTCCTCTGCCCTTGGAAAAATAAAAGGCATCCCCTCTGTCTTGAGAAATAAACCCCTAAAATTCCAAGTCATGGAGATCAATATTTATTCAATTAAAATTAAAAGATTACATAGAGTATTTAATTAATTAAAAATAAAATAGAAGTCAATTAATTTTGATTTTTGTTTCACAATATTCTCCTCTGTTCACTATGCAATGTGGTATTTTTATTTCATTTTTATCATTTTTCTACACAAATTTATGGATTTTCTAAGCTCTGTGAATTAAATAAATCATTAAATCCTATTTTTCCTACTTAAACCAGTCAGCCGCCACGTAATCCTCGTACGGGTAGAAGCCCCACGCGGTGCTTCCTGATTCACTGAGCTTTCTACCTCAGCATGAGCGGTGCTTCCTGATTCACTGAGCTTTCTACCTCAGCCACCATGAGTCTTCGTGTTCATGCACCATTTCTTCGTCTGACACCGTCTCGTTTGTTGGATCAATACACGCGCTAAACGGACGGCAACCGTTAATCGTTCTTGATCGTCCTAACCCATAAACCATCCATTTACTAAACCTAATTTCTCCCTGAATTCTCAACCAAATTACATGGGATTTGTTTCTAAAGCTTCATCTACTCAAGACAAACATATTTATACAGATAATCAAGTATGACATACAAGTTTGCTTCACAATTGACCAAACCGAGCTCGGTTTGGAGGAAAATTGTCCATACTTTGGTCCAACTCTTTATATTTTGATTTACTTTGATGGATAAAATATTTATTATGTCATTTCAAAGCAAGAATAATGAGTAATTTTTTTTCTCTCCTTTGCATAGGCAATTTAAGAATCTTATGTTTAATGTGTATGTTTTAATTCATTTGAAATTGCATAATGGTGATAAGTTAACATTCTACTCTTCATTGACTTTCAATATGACCAATTGTTACATTAAAATATTTTGTTATCAAGTTATGCTAGAGTTGGCTAATGGAACAAATAAGGTTAACTTATATTGACATGAGAGAATATGGTTATTGCTTCTGGGTTAGTATGATCATGTAGGAAAATATGGAAACTTTAGAAAATCACTTGATTTAAGGAACTAAATCTAAATGATTTCCTTCTTAGGATGATGAGGAGTTTTTTTCCTGATCTTCCTCTATATATTTCTGCATAGTTAAACTTAGAATCCTAAAAAGCCAATTCATGAGAGAATTATACAATTGATAAAAAACCTCACAGCTTTCTCACTTTTAATTTGAATTTTACTCTTACCAAAAATTATAATTAGTAACTTTTAAAATCACTAACTTTCAAACACATCATGTTAGACTTGTAATTAGTATGCCAGAACTTTTCTGAAATTGGAAATTAACAAGTTCCCTATGAAATTGATACACAGACTCAAATTTGTATACTACTTAGATTGACACGTAAACTTGTGAGGATCGTCAATAGCTCATATTATTTATTATTATTATTAATTCATTCTCAGAAGGGTATAAAATCTATAAGCCTCATTGCTTAGCATTAAATTAGTTTCAATCTCACAATTAATACAATAACACTCATTTTAATGTTAGGATCAATGGTAGCTTTTTTTCTCTCCTCAATAACACAATTCATAAAAACTATTTCAGATTTGATCATATCCCATTTGGAACTCTAAAATGAACACATTTAAAAACTAAACTTTGAATTTCATAAAATTATGTTAGCCTTATTTTTATCGAGAGTTTTTTAAGGGTTAGCCTCCCTTTGGATGTATGTAACTATAAAGGCTTCCTCTATAAGAAACATATACTCCATAATAAAATAATCTTCACCTATTATTTTGTCATTAGATATATTATTAAACAATATTGTTTTATTTTTTAATATGATATATTATTCTCAATGTTGTATCTCACTCCAAAATAATAAAATCTAGCACTTATATATTGTCAACACATCTTCCCATGCAAGCAAACATGTGATTATGATTCCAAGTGTATCGGACAACACCAAGCATGCCATAAATATACAAAGGTGATGTCCTTTGTTCTTCGTTAATCATGTTTTCCCCTATTTTATTGAATTCAAAGTTCGTTAGCTGGAATAAGATCATTCGTATCCAAAGAGAGAGCTTTGTATGCCATTATAGGTATAGTATGAATAATTGAATCAAAAGAGAGACATAAATAAAATGGTGACTTATAGCATAAGAATAAATTAGACAGCTGAAAATGAAGAGAGAAAAATATAGAGAAGACTCATGTTTTAGCAATTAGAAGGCATACTTAATGATGTAATTTGATCAGTTAACAAATGTGTATCATGCAACGATTAAGGTTTCTGAAGTTGTTAAGAAAGAAATGATTCAACTTTAATTGAAGATAAACAAATTGTTGGTTTGTATGTCTCTATACCACTTCATTCACACCATGCATCATCATTGAACTTAGAAAAACCATAAATTTTTAAATTGAAAGTTCTTTTGTACGCCTATTTTTCGAATTATGCAATGCTTCTTCAACATTCTATGTAAATAGAATTACATTATTAGGGCAGTCAAAACACATAAAAAGCTTTTTGAGTCTAGAACTTGGTTAGTTTAAGAATGGATTTAATATTTTTGAAAGACTTAGATTAAGCCATTTAGTGATGGCATGAAAGGATGCATTGTAGCCATAAGATATGAAATAATTGCAAGAAACTCCATTGGCCGCCGAATAAAGCTCATATGTATTCCATTGAACTAAAAGCTACACTCGTGTTTTCCATCTATAAGAACAAGCCTTTAATGCTCCAATTATAAATGATTATTTTCCATAAACAAAAAATTAATCTAATAATTACATGTTCAAAAAAATTAACATGTTTTTGAAAACACTCAAAATAACTTTTAAATAATTTAATTAATTTTTAAAATAATTATATCTTAATCAAATATATCAAATATTTATTATTTAATCAAAACATAATTCAAAATAAATTTAAAATTTTAAAAAAAATTATCCCATAAACTCTTAAGAAATTATGAAAGATGAAATTTGTTCATAATATTCTAAACAACATTCAGCCACGTGGTGAAAATTAAAAAATAAAAAGAGTAAAAGAAGATCATTTTCAACAGAACCAAACATTTCCTACATATACAAGATAACAACATTAATAACAATAAGAGGAGAGCATTGCTTTGGAGGCTTTCATGGTTATCATGAAATTCCACGAATATCATATGCTTTTAAACTTATAGAAAATTTGTACTTAAATATATACAAAACAGTAGGAAAATATGGAAGATTTCATTATGTATTTGCCTATTTACTATATGTTTACCAGGATCAGATGACTTTCTCCAGAGCTGTGCATGTATGACTTTTTATGAACTAAAACCCAACATATTCTGTATATTGGGAGTATGCTTCTGATGACATGCCGATGGGAGCCCGGATAACAATTTCAGGAAGACCGAAAGCGTCAACCAACTCCCCTGCAATCCCCCTAACTTGGAAACTCAAGTAATCAACCAACTTGTGTATTGCCTGAAATTATGATTCCATATAATGAATCCAGAATACAAAAACAGTTCTCATCTCCAATAATCTGTCTGCTTTGATCAAATCATACCTTGGCCTTATTAGGAGCAACATAATCTACATTGCGGTAAGTGCCTATGTCATTCCATATGCGGTCCAATGCATACAAGTCACACAAAAGCTTCAAAACATTACCCGTGTTTTTATCTGGGCATCTGCACAAGTACCAAGAGAGAACTAAATCTAACATTTAAGTATCCTTACTAAGTCCTGGAAAAAAAAAGGAAATTAGAATATACTTTTGAACAGCCTCTATAAATTTTGCAAGGATGACAGATTCAATATGAGACTCTGCCAGTGTCAGTAGATGATTCAAACACCGGTTCCATGCACCAAAACCACCAAGGGTCTTCGTGTGTTTGCGAAGACGCAGTCCCAAGCTTTGAAGCAATCGAGAAGTTCGGTACTGAAAAAAATTGTAATACGACCAACATAAAAGCTTGGATAATATAACATACAATAATAATAAGAATAATAATAATATGAAATGAAATGAGCGCAAGCTAACCCTGAAAGCATCCAGCTGGAAATTTGGATCCCGAAGATGCTCTTCACCTTGCCATCGAGCAGTGACTGGATTTGGCTGGGCTGTGTATGAAGCCATGGACTCTCTAAGGTAATTCCATGTCACAGTAAGAGTCCCTCCACGAAACTTTGACTTATATTGCTTCAAGAGATCACCTGCAACCTGCACAGTCAATGAATTTTTAGAAGCACTGAATTCAGTTTAAGAGAGAGACATGTAAAGTTTTGTACCTGCTGCAAGAGAACAGTGTTGTCCCCTTCAAATGTTTGAAAAATATCATGGTCATTACGGAGAACACCAAAGCGGTTGACAGCTGCATAGCCATGGCCACCACATGATTCTCTGCAAACACTGATTGATTTAGCTGTATAAGATGTCACATAAGCCTTCAGACCAGCAGATAGAGCATGAACATCACCAACAATGTCTTCATCATGAGACTTCTTCATCTCCGAGTACTTATCAATCAGATATAGGGTGGCAAAGTGGAAAGCATATGTTGATGCAAGCATGGGCATGAGCTTGTGCTGCTGAGACTGGTAATCAAGTATACTGATCTCTGGCTGCTTGGGAGGACCAAATTGCTGACGGAGTAAGGAATATCTTACAGCAATAGTGACAGAAACTTTAAGAACCCCTACAGAGGAGTAAGCAAGGCCTACTCTTCCACCTACCAGTTCCCCAAGTGTAGCAGCAAACCTCTTATTAATAGTTGGGAGAGAGCTTGTGTAAGTCCCATCACGAGAAACATCCCCGAATCGGTTCAAGAGATTGTCTCGAGGGATTCTGACAGATTGAAATCTCAGTGCACCATTATCCACCCCATTAAGGCCTACTTTGTGGCCGCAGTCATGTATCTCAACCATGGGAAGAGTATCATGGGTTTCCATGTCCCTTATGGGGACTATGAAAGCATGAACACCCATATCAATAGATTTTCCTCCTTTGCCTTGGAATGGTAAAATCAACCTGGCAAAGACGGTTGCAAACTTTCCATGAACAGCGGCATTACCTATCCACCATTTGATGGCCCCATCATTTGGTGTGTTGATTACAAATTCATCAGTGAGAGGATCAAATGTTGCAGTTGTTTGGAGGCCCTGAACATTGGATCCTGTTTACACAATGTCAAATTGCCAAATAAACTTCTAGACTTCCATATATTAATTTAATCATCTAAGATGATGTAATTACAAATCAAGGAAATAAGACACTGACCATGATGGAGTTCAGTCATAGCAAAGCAACCTGGATAATCAATATTATCAATGCCCTTAAAGTACTTTTCCTTATGTTTTTTAGTTCCTAGATTCATCACGGAGCCTCCCCAAAGACTGCATGGAAAGAGAAGAGAATCAATAGTTCAAAACAAAGCATTTTTATTTTCTTCTTTTTATTCTTTTTATTCTTTTTTTTTCTTCTTTCTTCCTTTCTTCATTCGAACTCTATAGTATCAGATAGGCAGGAACAGCCTGTATTCTAAATTTTACAGTAGGGGGCGGATATTTATGAATTCTCAATATAACCAACAGGATTTCAAAGCATTTGCGCTTACCAATGGTTTCTCGCTCCTACATGTAAATTGTGAACTTAGGTGTTAGGTTTATTTGAAAAAACAAAAATGAAATTGTTTACAATTTTAGAGAACAGCAGCGGATTAAATGATTCTGAGTACTAATCTGAATTCGAAAAAAAAACTAGAAAGCAACATAACCATGCAACATTTCATTCAAATGCTACATGCCCGCTGAATAAAGTATTATAATCCTAGAGTTAATTTTGTTAAACCGGCACCTACAGTGCCTTCTGCCAAAAAAATTGAAAAGCTTATATTAAGCGCAAGACTAAAAAGACAATTTAATCATTCGTTAGTTATTATTGTGGGGTATATAGAAGGCTTAATTATAGGTGTTTATTTTTTATGTATTTGAGATTGTATCTTATTGATTTCACAATAACATAATAAAATTTATGCCCTAATTTATGTGAAAACTTGTCTCATTCCTACCCAATCAGTGTCAAAGCAAAATCCTAGGAGTAATGGCCCTACCCAATCAGTGTCAAAGCAAAATCCTAGGAGTTCAAAGCAAAATCCTAGGAGTAATGGAGATACACAGTCACCATTCGAGCTAGCTAGAAAGCCAGTGATGAGATCATGATATATAAGGTTCCGCCTTGTGACCGAACATCACGATACAGTTGTGATTCAAGCTAGCCGGGAAGCCAACAATCGGATCACGGTGTACAAGGTTTCTCCATCATGACTGAATATCATGATAGAGTCGCGATTCAAGATAAAAGGGAAGCCAATGATGAGATCACGACGTACAGGGTTCCGACTTTGTAACCGAACTTGAACCTCACGATTCGAGCTAGCTTGGAAGCCAATGAAGGGAACGTGGCGTACATTGTTCCGCCTTCATGAGCGAACCTCACGATACAGTCGTGATTCAAGTTAGCTAAGAAGCCAACGACGAAATCGCAACATACAAAAGTTTCGCTTTTGTGATCGAAAATCATCTTGGGAATAATGGTAACCTAGAAAGTAAATGTTTTGGAAGAAAAATTAGAAAGAAAGGTAAATAAAATCTGGAAGGGATGAGCGTTTCTCGAATATGGAAGGGAGGTTCTCATCAATAGAGGGGAGATTCATAGCCCTAGAAGAAAGGATGAAGAAGACCATAGAGTTCACACAAACCCATCGTGTGATTGTGCAACAACGTTTGGAGCAAACGCGAGCGATAGTAATCAAAAGGATTCAAGCGGAATTAGGGTAGTATCTCTACCTTAGGCAGGATGAAGAAGACCATAGAGTTCACACAAACCCATCGCGTGATTGTGCAACAACGTTTGGAGCAGACGCGAGCGATAGTAATCAAAAGGATTCATGCGGAATTAGGGTAGTATCTCTACCTTAGGCAAATCTGGAGCCACGGGAACGAGCAAAGGAAGCAAGAGAGGACTCATGCGATAGAACTTGAAAAGAATAGAGTGGCATCTAGGCGAGTGAACGAATGGGGAATGGGATCAAGTGAAGGACTTTGGAGCGGATTTGAGCAGCCGCATCTAGAAGGACTTGAGCGAAATTTGGAGGTTTGGAAAGAGCGACAGAAGGCGAAACAAGAAAATGTGCGATTTGAGGCTGGAGAAGATTGATTTGAAAATTTTCTATCTGAAACAGAGAACCATGGTGGTTGGGACCCCAGCGGAGGGCTGCATCCAACTGTGTCGGTGTCTTTTGCCGTAGCAATCTTCGAGGTGGAGAGTGATTTAGGATCCTATGGGGATAGGAGAGCCAAATATGGGACAAGCTAGACTTATGGAAGAAGGGAAATCAATATAGGTTAAGGAAAGAAACCCAGCCCCCACTTCATGGGTAGAACGACCTCCGATCGAGGAAATTGAGTAGACTCATGCATAAGAAAGTTAAAGATACGGATCTTTGAAGACGATGATGCCTATGGTTGGATTCATCATGTTGAGAGATACTTTATTTTTAATAGTTGAAGGACAAAAAAAAAATGATAATGGGAGCCCAATCTTTGGAAGGGAAAAATCTAGCATGGTATCAATGGAGAGAACAATGTCAGCCAATCAGGACATGAGAAGAATTCAAAGACAGATTGTTACAACATTTCAGAACCATGCGGGACGGAATTTTACATGAGTAGTTTTTTTGCATTGGTTCAGCAAGGGTCTTTTATGGATTGTAAGGAGAAATTAGAGATGCCTCTAGCCATTTGAGAGGTATATCAAAAGTAGCGTTAGAAGAAAACTTTATGAAGGGCTTGAAACTAGAGATTCAAGTAGCACTTCATCTAATGAGACCATGAGATTGGGGAAAGCTATATAATTAGCATAATTGATTGAAGATAAAAATGCAATGTAACGGACTAATAGATGCATCAAAAGTGAGAGCCCTGCCAAAATGCAACAACCACTAAGACACCAAACACTCAAACACTAGGATTCTAAGGGCAGGCTCTATGGAACAAGAATAATGAGCTATGACCAGGCATAACATTCAAATGTTGTACATGGAAAGAAATTTAGGAGAAGCAAGCCTAAAGGTTATGTTTTCGATGTGACGAAAAGTTTGCCCTAGGACACAATTGCAAGGATCACACCTTACAAGTTCTCACAATGTATGACGAGAATAAAGGGGATGAAGAAACAGAAGAGGTTGTGATGGAGGAGGAGACAGCCTCACTTGGATGTGGCAAAAGTCATTGAATTTGTTGGCGGGGTTAGCATCGAACCACACTAAAAATTTTTGTGGGAAGATTGGAGAGCAAAAAATAGTGGTAATTATAGATGGTAGTCCACCCACAACTTCATCTCTAATCAAATAGTGAACCAATTGGGGCTTAAGATGGTTGATACAGAAAATTTTGGAGTAATGATGGAGATGGGACAAGTGGAGAAGAGCGAGAGAGTTTGAAAATGGGTAATTTTAACATTTCAATGTATTTAGGTGATGGGCAATTTTTTCTCTTGGATTTAGGGAGCACTTATGTGATATCGAGTATGAAATGGTTGCAGTTCTTAGAGAGACTAAGATGAATTGAAAACTCCTTACAATAGAGTTCTAGTAGGGAGATAAAATGTTGGTGCTTCGCATTGACCCTAATTTGTGCAAGATCTTGGAGACACTCAAGACCATGGTTAAGGCAATTAAGAACAGTAGTATTGGGATGCTTGATCGAGTTGCATAACATGGAAGAGACACAAGATACGGAGTTGGCAGAGATTCTGACACTGATCCAATAACTCCTATAATAATTTCCAGAAATTGCCCAATTACCACGCGGAATGGTGCCTCGGAGCGAACACAAGCATACAATAACCCTAAGGAGCGGGAGTTTCTCTCATCATTGTGCGCCCATATCGCTACTCTCAGAATTTCAATTCAATGCTAAAAAAGTTGGTAAACTATTTTGGTAGAAGAGAAGACGATCAAATTAAGAAGATGAAACTTAAGCTTCACATAGACTTAAAAGACCCGTTCAAAAAACTTTGTAAGAATCTAAAAATAATCATTGTTGTTTATAGTTGAAGTGATAGTAATGTCTTAGATGATAATTTTTCAGAATATAATATATGCCTAGCAACAAAAAAGGAGATGTTTTTGCATCTTACAGATGGAGAGTGGGTGACTATAATGTCAGAACATCTTAACATCGATTGGGTTGAAAGTCTAAAGCATGTTTTTGAGCATTTTATAGAAAAAACTCCTAGGTTTCATTTTGAGCATTAAAAGATCTCACTTGTATGGAACTAAAACTATGTAGATGTTGAATTTGGAAGAATACAAGCAAGATACATACTGCAACATCTATAGAAAGGTTCAATATCTAATATAATTGTTGATGTTATCCAATGCAATCGATCAGTTGAGGTCCATTTAGTGGAAGTCAGTAAGGGTACTGCAATTGATCAAATATTAGGAGAAATTGTGCACAACAAGAACATGGTTACACCATAAGATTATGTTTTACGCATAGAACACTTCCTGGGAGAGGGTGAGGATATGAAAATGTTTTTTGGAGCCACTTGAGTTAAAAGGGATGCACCAAGCATTGATAGGTGGGAAAGAAGTGTTGATTAAATGGAAATGGTTGTCAGATTATGACGCCACGTGGGAGCCGTATGACTTGATCCAACATGAGTTTCCTCTCTTCATGCTTGAGAACAATGTCCTTTAAAGAGGTTTATAATGTTAGATCGGTGCCTACAGAGCCATTCACCAAATAATTTAAAATTTTTATGTTAAGCGCAAGACTAAAAGAGTAATTTAGTCAATTATTAGTTATTACTGTGGGGTATAAATAGTGTTTAATATAATTAGGGTTATGTTATGTGTGTTGTCTTGAATCTTAGGGTTACTGTTTAGGAGAGAAGTATTACCACTCGAATTGCAAGTATTTATCTTTTATGTATTTGGAATTGTATCATTTTAATTTAACATTCGTGGAATATAATCTACTATTTATAAGATAATTTCTATGAAAAACTTCTCTTGTTTCTATGAAATTCTTTCACAATTTGCCCCTCCAAATAAGTTAAGAGATCCCTCATTTACAGTAACATAATGATTGAGATCTCATTTGGAAATAATTAGGGAGATCTTGTATAATGGCATAAGGTTTTATTAAATTTTCAAAACTAAAGTTGTAATCCAACAAGAAAGAGAGGTTTGAAAAAATGGAGAGTGGAGAGAAGTTCGGTGGTTGCTATAAAGAGCCAGGGTGATATAGAAAAAGGCTTTTTATAGGGGCCACACCTACAATATGAATGGCTTGTGCTCGTTGGGGTTTATTCTTCCATTTCTATT